TATTTAATTGATTTTCTTTTCAGCTTAGTCCTTTTAATAATCAGGGGTTGCCACAATGGAATAAACCAGTTTTACACTGCAGCTGCGGCTGCCCTTCCAGCTGCAACTCAACACTGGAAACATCCTCTTTCACACACATACACACTGCAGCCAATTTAACTTATTCAATTCACCAATTGAGCAACCGGGGTTCAAACCAGCAACCTTTTTGCTGTGAGGCAATTGTGCTACCCACTGCGCCACCGTGATGTACCTTGTATATTTACTGTATACAGGGCCGGATTTAACCAATAAGCAAGGTAAGCAGCCACTTAGAGCTCCAGGAAATTTGAAAACCCCCAATAAATACCTTAAAGTATAATTTATATCTATAAATTATAAATAACATCATTTTATCTTGTATTTTGTAGAGTCGAGGGTGTAATATATAAAAGTGTATCATAATTGTTATATCTGTGAAATGTGTGCTTACCTGCCAACAATGGAGCAGTTCAGCTGTCAAATCAGATGAAGATTTAGTTTAAAAAAAAAAAAAAATTATTGAATTTTTTAGTTGTTTTTTGTTTTTTTTATAAAGTTTTTTTTTTTTAAAGTCAGCAAAAAAAAAAATAATAATAATAAAATATTACAAAGGGTATATATTAGGACTTTAAAGCCCTATGGCTTGAATTGCTTAGGGCCCCCAAATCACTAAATCCGACCATTAATATATAGATGTAATCAGAATTACTAAACCACCTGAATTATTCGCCCCCTGTTTATTTCCTTTCCCAATTTCTGTTTAACAGAGAGAAAATCTTTTCAACACATTTCTAAACATAATAGATTTAATAACTCATTTCTAATAATGGATTTATTTTATCTTTGCCATGATGACAGTAAATTATATTTGACTAGATATTTTTCAAGACACTTCCATACAGCTTAAAGTGACATTTAAAGGCTTAACTAGGTTAATTAGGTTAACTAGGCAGGTTACGGTAATTAGGCAAGTTATTAACGATGGTTTGTTTTGTAGACTATTGAAAAAAAATACAGCTTAAATGGGCTAATAATTTTGACCTTAAAATAATTTTAAAAAAATAAAAAACTAGTTTTATTCTAGCCGAAATTAAACAAATAAGACTTTCTCCAGAAGAAAAAATATTATCAGACACACTGTGAAAAATGGTTTGCGGCTGGAAGGGCATCCGCTGTGTAAAAATGTGCTGAATAAATTGGTGGCTCATTCCGCTGTGGTGACCCCAGACTAATAAAGGGACTAAGCCGAAAAGAAAATGAATGAATGAATGATAAATTAAATTATTCTGATATATATATATATATATATATATATATATATATATATATATATATATATATATATATATATATATATATATATATATATATATATATA